TTTATCTACAAAATAGTCACAAATTTTCTACAAATCGCCTTTCAACTTCTGACTAGGAGAACAAATTTGCAACAAATGACTTTACAATGATGCCCCTATTCTCTCCATACTCAAGGAATAAAATAAGAACAAAGACACTGGCTAGCCTGCTTATGTAGATCTCAATTTTTGGAAAAGCTAGGTAACATGACAATATGAAAAATAGAGTATATGAGAAGATCTGCTTTACTCAGAGAGATACTGATCCTCAAGCGAAGAATGTTTTCATATTTTTGCCAGACTATAAATATAACTTGTAACATCAATGCTTTTTTCATGAGGACATCCAACTGCTTCATGAGTCATATGGGGTTTGTAAAGATGGTTGGGCCTCCATGGATTTATGCAAATAGTGTCAATTTATTTCATATAATCCACTAAAAACAAACAGTCAACAGTGATCTGCTATCAATAACCTGGCTTAGGGTAAGAGAAGGGAAAGCAGAGGTGCTTATGGTGCTGTCTAACATTTCTCATGCTTTAGCAGTTCATTACTATCAAGGTCTCTTACTTTCGTGTTAGCTTCCTGTCCCTGAAGGTGCATCAAGGCTAGTTGGTGCTATTTATTCAGTGTATAGCATGCCCCCAGCCTTGCACATTCACAGAGGCAGTTTACCCTCTTAGCAGATGTACCTCTCTCCTCCTTTCACAAACCTTTGATGCTTACTTCACCTTTTTACTATTTCAAGATGACAAACTAATGGAATCATTCACTAGACACAATTATGTTGTCCTTTTGAGGTAATTCCCAAATCTTAGTCTTTTTTAGAAAATGGAAATAAAGGATGCCCCTATTATGCAGATATTTTCCCATGGGCTGTATTTTTAATGTCTTTCAGTTCTTTGGTAAGATTTTTGTGTGTCTCCTCTTTCCACGTTTTCCCCTAAACATTACAGATAAATATCCTTGGCCACTTTTCAAAACCCTAGAAAAGACAGCACTGCTAGATTTTATTCTTTCTGCTCTCTTGATTCTTTCTTCCTTCGAATTGTTCTTTCCACCTTCAGGAGATCCCAGAGGTAGGATTTAGGTTTACGACCAATGTTTTATGATCAAGATACTGAACTTTAGTCACTGAATTACTACCAGCGCGTTCAGAAATCTGCCAACCATGCACAAGTTCTTAGGAGGACCTCCCCAAACTAGGGTGCCCATTGGTGCTGACCCTGGGCTTTAACCCTTAATCACTAGCATCCCCCAGTGGCCCTATTCATCACTGCACTTCACTTTTTTGGGGGGTAGTTTTCTAGTCAATTTAGCTTTCAATGTAAATTTAAGTAAGATCCCTCAAAAGCAGGCAGCACTACAGACTCTCCTCTCCTCAGCAAAGATCCAAATACATTTGATCAAAGATAAAGATGGATTTATTATTATTTATCATCAGTTATAGAAACTATCATATATTTATTATAAAACATACCTCAAAGAGTAGGGATAATACGTAAAACACCTTAAGAATGGTGGGGAGAATCAGGAAAAAAAAAAAAAAGAATGATCTATTTTTACAGAAGAGCCTTTACTGGAGAAGCTTATTGAAGAAGAGATGAGGGGCTGAGTGCACCTCTGAGAATAATAGGTTCTACAGCTATTCTTTCCTACTTGGCTTTTTTACAAAATCATGACTCTCGGAAAACAGACTTCAGCAACTATCATGTTTTAAATCTGCCTTCTGATTAAAGTTCAGATACTTTAATGCAGCAAACTCATCCAGCATACTCATCCAGCAAATCTATTAAGACTTCTAAATAAAAAATATGTGGCTGACATTTCATTTGCACCATGGGAATTCAACATCGTACTCCGGAAAAATGCATGCCCGGCACCAGGGAGGACGCTGGGACAAGGATGGGCAAAGATGCTGGGGCAGAGGCAGGACCACACTCTGCCCGAGGCTGGAGCCCTCCAGTAGCTCCTAAGGCTGCAGCAGAGCAGAAGAGCTGTTAATTAAAGCAGCCCGTCTGAAGATCAGTGGTGCTGTGCAGGAAAGAACTGGACATTTCTGCCCTCTCAGTCACAGGGTCACCAGACCTGTTGCCACAGGAGCCTGGAGATGCCCTGAACTCTACCCGCCCCATTTTGCTTCTTAAATCCAATAGGCCCACGGTGCCACTCAACCACTTCTTTCATCTCCAGTCCTCATGGGGCAATAGCCAAGGACACCCTGCAGGTTTTCATAGAAGGTGCATAATTCCATAATTTGCCTTCAGTGTAGGCAATGGATATTTGAAATAATTTAAAACAAAACAAAACAAAACCCCTAACCCCCAGAACATATGTTTCTTGCCTGCAATTTAAGGACTAACACTGGAGCCCTTCCTCAGAGGTAATGCTAGGGAAATCTGCTTCACTTGCTATCTCTGAGTCGGATCCCTCCTGAGCAGCAGCAACCCAGAGTGTGAATGTGTTAACTGAGACATGACAAACCCATGTAACACCTCTTGCTGATATTCTGCTGTTTTGCAGTTAAGGCTCAGGAGGATTTTTTGCAAGGAAGTTTATTTTTGTAAGCTGCTGCGTGCTGACTGTGACATGGGGCAGCTTTTGCTAAGGCAAATGTCTTGACTTTTGTGAAGGCTCTTGGACAGACCAACTAGCCCTGTGACATTTACAAGTAAAGCTGTGTATATACTTTTGGCTTAGGTTATTCAGGGGAAATACTTGTAGGTTTTTATAAATTATGGACAATTACAGTTCAGTGCAAAAAGAGTAGGCAGCTTCTCGTTTTGACATCTCTCCCTTTCTTTTGGAAGTTCTAAAAATATTGGAGAGGTCCTAAACATCTTCCCCATCTAATGTTATTGTCACTACTTAGAGCAGAGAGATGGATATTCAGTACGTCACTTTGATAAGGCAGTTTTATGCAGTTTAACTGACTGTCTCCACTTGTTACACAAAGTGGCTGATTCCAGAAAAAGTCAGCAACCATCATAATAAAAACTCCTGTGACAATACAACATGCCACACAGCAGTGGAAATTAATCCTGCTGCTGAAGAAATGGGAAATACACAATAAACACATTACCTGAAATTAGGATTTTGGGGGGACCAATTCTCTTTTAATTTTGTAATAATGATTTCTTCTTTATATGGACTGCTTGAATTCTCAGGCATTTCCCTGTAGAGAGTGGTATGAATATTTTTCCAGATATGACAGAAGGAAAATAGATAGCTATAATGGAATTGCAGGAGCAGCCAAGCAGTGGATTGATTCAACAGGAGAAATTCAATGCATCCCAAAAGATTTCCTAGGATTTGCTCTCCTGCTGCTTCAGGCACAATTTGTTATAATAAGAAACTGAGGATTTCGTTTCAGGTGTGTCAAAGCTTATTGTGGTGACTTGAAAGTATAAAGAAAAAACTACAACTGAAAATCTCTCTTAAATAATTCTTTTGGACCAGAAGATAATAGAGGTAACTTTTTTGAGGTGCAAAAAAAGGTCAAATTTCTTGTGCAAATAGCATTTCCTAAGAGATACTAACGGAATGCACAAGTCAAAGTCTTTCCTTCATCCCCAAACTCCTGCATTAAACAGTTCGAAAACTTCAGTGCACTTCAGTAAGCAAAACAGAGAAAGCTTTATTAAATTTTCTGATAAAATTGCACTTGGTCTGCCTGTAATCTCTATAGGAAAATCTTCAGTTTTCTACTATGCAGAACTGAAGCTCTATTTGAAAGATTAAGTAGGACATGCACAGTGTGGATTTCACCTGCGAGAACGCCGAGATTTTCTAGGCACTTGTGCCCCCTTCCATGAGAAGTCATTATGAACTTACAGTGTCTCTGCAACTTGGGTCTACCACGGCCTATGTAGATGTCTTGCCTATTGCACCACGGTGAAAGCACTGAAATGCTGTGTTGGATCTCAGCTGATGACCAGAGATTTATTCAGAAACAGGCTGTCAGATGAAATTTCCTCAAGCAAAATGCTGAATACTGATGGCAGCCTGGTTTGACTAGCGAAAATATGCTGTATCTATCATCTGAGGTGTTTGCATCCATAGCAGCACATACTTTTTAGCGTTTGCTCGCCCCTCACATTTCACAATATCATGCTGTGTACTGTATAGCAGAACTTAAGAGAATGGACACTCTAAAAAATATTACAAAATATTACACAATTAACATTTGTGTGTGTGCAATATTTTCTCCTGATGTTGAACACAAGTTAACATTTAGTTACAAACAATCTGAACATCAAGACTTAGAGTTTTAGAGCTTTCAAAAGAGACAGCCACTGAACAGAGCAGGCAACACCAGCCCCATCTCTGTTAGATGACCTAAGTAGCATTATGACTCCAGGCTCCAATCCATCCCAAGACCGATCACATAAAGTAGGATCTCCTAGAGCACCATCACTGACCTGTAAAAGGCCACCAGTGTCAGAAAGTCACAGGAGCAAGGAGAAAAGAACAGCAAGTGCTTCATCACCTTGGCCTCTGGGTGCTAACAAAATACAGCAACATGCCCTTGTTACTTCCAACTGAGAATGCATTTTGTAATGATTTTTTTTTCTGTAAACTCTATGCAGAGTGTATGCAGAGTTCATACACTATTTCAGCTATATCCCTGTCCCTAAAGCTTAATTAATCTCAGTATAAAACACTGATACACTCACAGCGACAACAAAAGAAACCAGAGCAAGGAACCAGGAAGTAAGTTTTGGATTAGAGAGGGGGTCAGCATCCAGATATATGAAACATTGACGAGCACTACTACAGGGAACCATTTATTCTTATAGTTCCTACTATCATTTTACTTACTCTTACCCTGATTATGCAAGAAGAATGACAATTCTGCCTTAGCTATTAACCCAGGGAAGCATGGCAAAATGTACAGCAAGGTAATTTTAGAAATAACAGTTGTAAGCAGCATCCAGAGAAAGCACAGTGTTCACTTTTAATGAAGCACAATGTTCACTTTTAATGAGAGACTGCTTCTTTGGAAAACTGAATCTCTTACCTGTATGGTCCAAGAGTCCTGATGCCATAATTCAAAGCATTTTCCCAGGATCCAAGGTTGATACAGGCATCCATGGCACAGTCAAGCATTTTCAGCTGATAGATATTTGTGTCTGGAAGACAACCCTCACTGCTGCTTAAGAGATTCTGGCATTTTGCCAGAACCTGCTCCCAATCTGTTGTTAGCCTTAGTTAAAGAAATATCTTTAATCAAACAAAAATACAAGCTTTAAATGTTGTTAGGAAGGAGTAAGGGCTGCAGGGCATTAAGATAAAAAAGCTACCATTATTCCAGACTCTGCTGCAATTCTTGAAAACATACTTAAACTCATAAGTGGCAGCTTAGGTAACTATGCTCTGTTTACACTTAGCAAAACAATTTCTAAAGAAGGTAGTATTTCAGCAATGAGGGGTAAAAGAGAGGTGACAAGATGAAAGGTTATTTAAATATGTAACAAACTAAAATTCAGGGGTATTTTTAGGTTGTTAAAATATTATCTTTACTTAAGATACTCCTCCAAATCTTACACCCAAGGACAAGAACCCACAGAAATGCATCTTAGCAAAATGCTTCTGCAGCTAAAATAGAGATCTTTCATTTTTGTATTCAAATAATACAAACATCTTCCAAGTTGCACAAGATTTTTTTAGAAAACTCATGAAGTTAAAATCACTCCTGTAGTTCCTGAATTTTCTTTCTATTTGAAATCATTATGAAGAGGAGAAAGGCTCTTTTCACCTCCAGTACTGCAAAAAAATTTCTGTGTGTTTGGAAGAGGAAAAGTGTGCTGGGGCTTACATTCACATTAGCTGGACATTCATTCCTGCAAAGCATTTTTTCATTACAGTGAAATCTACTGGATCAGATTCTCCTCTCTCTTACTGCATCTAAGATGAGCACCAATTCTCTCATATTGTAAGCCCAGCAAAGCACCCTTATAGGAGTTCAGAATGCAAGCAATCCTCTGACACCAAAAAAAAAAATAATAACATACACACCACTAAGTTCAAATGAAACAACAGACCTAATAATTATTATCATAAGACCAGCAGTAATAACGTTGTTTGCATCATAGTCCTTTGCATAAAATCAACTCATGGAGGTTCATCAATTATCTTCATGACACTACTCAAAAATATTATTCACTCCAAACCAGCAATGGATTTGAGCAGACAGTGATAATCCTATGATTAAGTAATTAGTCCTTCCTGAACATGGGAATATTTATATATGTAACTTTAAGAATGTGACCACTATGTGGCTGGCCCAGGATTTATAGCATGGTTGTTACAAGGCTAAACTAATTATTTGTGAACTGCTCTCATGCCCTTGGATTGAAAGAACCATATAAGGGAAGGAATGTGTTATTACAAAATTGCACCTTAACCTTTATATCTCTGGCAAACATCCATGTATTCTTTACAACTGATTAAGGATGGACAAACAGAAGAATGAGGGATATTATTTCCACTTGATACCATTTTCTTATTAAGTTCAAAGCACTGACATTCTTGAAAGTTTTTCATTTTAACTAATGCATGGTATTACTCTGTATACTTTAATTTCTCAATATATTGCTTCATTCATTAACTAACACCTAATAGCAAAGGCGTTGTATTGCAAAACCTGTTTAGACCACATTTTCAGCTACAGAGGTTGCAAACTAGAAAGTCCAACATCACCTGCAACAGGATAAAAGAGAAGCTGGCTCTCCTGCTTGTGCCCGGGACTAGAGGAGCAGCTCTCAAGCTGCTCTTCTACTGTTCAGTGGCTTGGGATACCACGGAATCTCTTTCTCCGTAGTAAGCCCCTTGCACTTGGCTTTAGTTTCTCAATTTGTACGCTTAAACCGCAATTTGGATATTACTCAGATGCATTTTTCAAGTTCTCTATGTGCAGATTTAGCAAGACAACACTGATAAGTCAAACTCAGCACTAACTTTCACTAACTTTCTAAACTGTAGAAACTGTTGGTTTAATTTGCTAAAGAAATCCACTCATAGAAACTAATTACTAAGTGCCTCAGTCGACAAGGAATATTTTCTATTCATTCTTGGTGAACCTACAAATGTCAAGCCACATCTCAGGTACTGCACTAGACAGTGCATGCCCATTATACATATAGACATGTATAGGACAGTGCTTAGTATGGCACTGTGTTGCAATAGAAGGAGAGATGCCCCATATCAAATAGACATGTCTGTGGACAAAACCAGAACAAACAACAAGGACTGATACCTTGTACTCCTTAGTATCCAATTCCCTTTAAAAATAGCAGTTAAAAGAGTAAATTTAATTAAAGACCTTAAGAAAAATTCAGTATGCGCGATTTCACCTGAAATTAAATACAGGGACATTACTTCGCACCATTCTGTCAGGTAGCAAAATGACTGCAATTACATGTTGCATATCTATAATCTAATATTTAAATCAAAACATACCCCCAGAATTATACCTGAATGCCTGGAGATTGGGTACAGTATTGCCTATCTCAATCCACTCACTACACAGAAATTTAAACAAGACTACAAAATATAAGAAAATTGTTACATGAGATTAAAATTTTCTTTAATGACAGCCCTTTTGTTAACAAACCGAAACAAAATCAATTTTTTTTACTACATAAAAGCTTGTGATTACTAACCAGTAGTTAGTAATCTTTCCAGCCTGGGAAACCACTAAGCCTACTTACTCTCTCTGCTGCTGAAAAAGAATACCAGAAAAGTTTATTCTATCACCAGATACAGCCCAAGTGTCAGAAAACAGTAAGGCACCCTGCTACAATATGGCCAAATTCATGGCCAGTGAAATTCCACTGAATAGATAAGGTGAGAGCTGAGTATGGATCGGTACACCCACGTTCTTCTAGTTAAAAACCTCCACCTGCTCATCTTTCCTTTGTTGTTGTTGCTATTCACTATTTTTTGATGGAATATCTACTTGATGGCCATTAGGCACTGATCTTATTTATTACCACAAGTTCATCCCAACCAATTTCATTAATTGTTATAAATTATTATTTTAACTTATCTTAATGATGATTATTATATCTTATCCTAATGATTATAGAAATGTGTGCTTTTTCATAATGTTTAGTTTTACTGAAAAAAGGGTTTTCTGAATTGTTCTCACACCTAAATGACAGATGGTAGCCTGTTACTAAAAGGATACCTTCTCCTGATTTGGGATGTTTCACTCCATTCACAGCATCTTTGACTTTTTTCCAGACATGCTCTTCACCTGCCAGTTTCTCAGCATCCTGGTTAAAGGAAACAAAAGCATTTGATGAGAAAGCCAATAAACCATGTGTATATGTAATGATGAAAAACAGGCTATAAAAGATTACAGTAACAAAAGCAAGTTACAGGGACTGTATCATCATTACATTTGCAAATACATAGAAATTCATTTTATTTGACGGTCATCTTCACTCTGTGCTTGCTTGACAGAAAATTACTCATGAATCAGCTCACTCTTGGACTGCTAGTGCAAGTAAATGAGATGATATCATGGAAAATGAAAGCAAACTTTCAAATATTAAATACTGGAACAAGATATTAAGTTCATAGAAAGAATTGTGATCTCTGGAACAGAGGAACAGCATGCGACTTTTTATTACAGATACAGACTGAGCAAATGAAATTCTCTCGAAAAACTGCAACCTAATACTTCACAGACCCACAACCACCTTGTAGAAAAGATTTAGCAAACAATTTTGATCAGCAATGTACTGATGATAAGGACTTTACAAACAGCAGTCTACCTTCATTCATTACAACTCTAGCCATGAGCTAACATGAGAACCTACTGCTCCAAAAAAGCTAAACCTCTGTTTTGTTTTATAATTCATTGTTATTTCTTCCCTATTCCATTTGACTGTACAAACAATTATATTTTCTTATCACTTTGTCATAATGAAGGTAAAAATGATTAATGGTTGCAGTAGTAAGTGAAACAGTTTCTCTTTTCAGCTCTCTAGCAGTAACTAACTGCACCTGAGGCAAACCACTTGCAACAAATTTATTAAAGCATCTACAGACACAGCAAAGCATCTCGAGGGATTTTCAAAAGCATCTAGATTTGCAATTTCCATTGCTACAAGCACTTAAATACCTTTAAAAATCTGGCCTTTAAGACACTGTGTTCATTATCTCTCTCCATCTTTGTAAAATGCTCTGCTACTCTCAAGAGGGTTATGTAAGAGCAAATTATTTCAGATATATTTTAAATGCAATCTTAAAAAAATCAGCCTTCAGGCTGGGTGGAAGTGGGGAGATTAACAGAAAAGGTGTGTTGTTGTCCTCTAACCAAGCACTTTGCAACAAATAGATGCTTACTGGGTATCACAAAACTAATTCTGTTAAAAGGCCTACATAATCTGTAGTCTATAATCTGTATCTGCTTTGAAATATATATTTTTCTTATTCCATTGCTCCTTACTTATCCCCAATTTGAAGCAGAAAGTATTTAGAGTGAGAGCCAGCACTCACTATCACGTTTAATTTGCAATTGTGTTTTTTTCCATCTGCATTTAAAAGAGCCAGTCCCTGCGTTTCCCTGGGCTGATTAAATCCAGATTGGTCTCGGCTATCCCACCGTTCTGCAGAACATACCAAGGCAGGCAGCCTGACCCTTGTGCATTTTGCATGTACCTCCCATACAATCAGGCCTCTGACTGAAAAGTTCACCTGGAAATAATCTTGTTCATTGCTGAATTTGTCATCAGAAGACATAAGGTGAATGTTAGGAGAAACAAACTCATACTCCAGAAATTTTATCAATCAGCCCAGTTCACATACACCTAGTCTTGTCATAGATTTGTAATAGAGTTACACTGAATATGTTAGCTGCAGTGTAACTTTCCCTAATTTTAGAAAACTACATAACTTCCAGGAGGCTGAACTCAGGCTATTAGTCTGTAACAATCTGTTTCTAGAAAACCTTTGCAGTGTTGCTGCACTGATTTATCAAAAATATAACTGGTCTGTAAAATATTAATAATGATGTCTGTGAAATTCTAGGTTTAAGGAGCACAGGAAAAAGAACAATTCTGTTAAATTGTCTTTTCTCACTGTCCTAAATACCTTTCTGAGTATTTCTGTAAACATTTAGTAAGTCTTACAAATAAAAAACTGAGAAGCAAGGGAATTAGGACCGATATGTAAATGAAAGGCAAAAACTATACAAGTTACAGTCCATTCATTGATGCAAAGCACATTAAGATTTATTTTATACACAGTGGAACTGAAAGATGAATCAGTTTAAGGCTGTCATTGACACAGGATTATGCTTTCTTGCGCCACCCTTTGGGTTGCTTTCCATGCTCTTCTGGCACTTCCCCAGGAACACAAAGCAGAGCAGGGTTGGGGTTTCCTCAAGTCTCTGCACTAGCACACAGGGTTAAGTGATTGCTGGCTTTGTATCAGGTGAAGAATAGAAGTGTCTACTGGACAGATAATCTCCCAACCCCCTCTGGATTCATGGCCCTTATCCCTTTTGCAAGAGACTGTAGGATGGAGGAAGCTCAGCAGGATGCCCAGGCCTGAGAAGGATTTAAGACACAGGTTTCAATGAGATGTTTTCTGTGTTTTCAAGATCAGGCATTTGGGGGATTGGTATATATAAGAATGAGCAAAGTCATGGTTAGCTGGCCCTTTTACACATCTACTACAGTCTTTCATCAGATTTCATACATCAAAGAAGTCCTGTTCTTTTCTAAACACTCAAGTTCATGAAATGCTGCTTCAGAGCAGTCAAGCAGAGGCTGCAAAATGACCAGGGAGAAGTGTCACTGAGAAGACTTCTGCCTTCCAGGCTAATAACATTTTTCCAAGTTGTGTCTCTCACTTGGACAATGATTTGAAAGTCACAGCCATGTGATATGCCTAAGCCAGCTGAAAATACAAAGCTGCCTCGGAGTTGGAATTATGAAAATAACTGAAATGATTAATAATTATGCCAAATTTTAATTTAATCTAAGAGCATGGCAGTAACAGTTATGGGAGATTTAACTTTCCAGAAAGTAACATCCATTCAAAGCAGCTCTTCTCAGAACATGTTTACATTCAAATCTCCAGGTGTGCAGAGCTGCCAGCTACAAGGGAAGAGCCTTTTTTTTTTTTCCCCATCTGCACAAGGAGAGAAAGCACCCTTACTGAAGGAACAGGAAGGAAGATTTGGCGACATGACTAATGATACGGTGTGATGTCTAATTATTTCCTCTCTTGCTAACACCAGCGCTAAACATGAGAATTTGTTCTTTCAAGCAACAAATATTTGTTGTTTAGTCTACATTAGCTAAGTAATCTAGCCACATAAATGCGTGACAGTCTTCTGATGGCTGGAACTGGCATGTTCTACCACTCAAGTTTCACATGCTGCAACATACTAGAGAGAAGTGAGAGACAAGGTGATGAGGGTTTGTTAGGGAAGTAGAACAGAGAGCTGGAACACATACTTTTTCACAGCAATATTCAAAACAAGACAAGTACGGTCCACTGGATGCAGAAGCATCACTGCATGTGCTTGCTGGACCCACAGTCTAGTCTAGGAAAGACAAAAGTAATGTTGAGGTTTATTATTCCTCACCCTGCTATCCACTCTCTCCAAACACATACAGGGGCCTCATAAAAGGTGAGTCCATGCTGTGACACACAAGGTAAACCAGCACCTACAGACCTTGGGAGATCGGTGTCTACAGCTCCACCCACTGCAGTAGTCCTTTTAATGCAACACAATTTCCAGTGTTACATTTGGTTCTTCAAGTAAAACAAGCTATACCCTAGACTCTTCACACCCAGCACCTACAAAAAGGTGGATGCTGCATGCTTTCAAGTTTTCTTGTAATTATTTGGGGTATATAAAGTACAAAGGCTCACCTACATAATTCAAGCAAACAAAAAATTGAAATCTGTTTGTCCCTTCAGAATGGGCAAATACAAAATATTATGTAAGGTAAACATTCTGGCCATATAAAGAAACATTTTTTTCTCCCTTAGATGACAGGATTCAATAACATTTTTTTTAAATGCAGTTGCTCGAATATCATATTTTATACTCAGCTTGTAAATCAAAAGACTTTTTTTCTGTCAGAATACATCCAGCCTTTATATCTAGTTATGCTCATGAGCAACCATGTAAAATGGAAGTCTTAAGCTTGTAGATATGCATTCCAACCCACATTTAAAGAGCTTGAGAAAGGACATGATTAGCTCTGTTCATCACATCCTGTAAATGCTCATGAAAATAATCTGTGGTACACAAGACACCACTAAATGTCAACAGTTGCTTTAAATATGACACGGTTTGCCATAGTTTAGGTTTCATTAGTCACACTGGTAAAAATGAAGCTATAACCACACATAATAAAAGAAAGAAAGTGAAATAAGAAAAATTGAGGGCATCTTTTAGGATGATTAAAATCTATTTGTATGGTCATCAGACGTAAAATGTTCTGTGCTTCTGGCTTCAGGTGATAGGAAAATTTATGATAAAAGTACCTTCTCCTGAGATAACTAGACATCAATGACCACAGAAAAAAAAGCATTTGAAAATGAATCCTGTTCTACCTCCTCTTCTTCCTTTGCTCTCACTTTGGTCATAAGAACGAGTTATTTCCCTTGTCCATTTTACTGTTCTAGTGTCCTGAACACATACATATCTCAGATCCTCTTCTTAGAAATGAGTGAATTTTGACAGTATAGATATGTTTTCCTTCTCCCTTCTCCCATGCTCTACTCTCGTTTCCCTTCTTCTCTGACTCCTTTCTGATTTTGACTCTTCCTAAAAGTGCTCCCTACCCATTCGTTTAAAATGTTACTGAGTTTACATACAATGTATAAAGTCACTTTTTCTCCACAAAACGGAGAAGTGGGGACCAGAAACTCCAAACAATAATTAACTCCTACATCTCTCTTTCTCCTTCCCTTTCCTACAACAAGCAGGTTCAAGGACATCTTCGCTTCATGCTCATTTCCAGTGTTCAGGTATCCAGCCCCATAAAGACAAAAATATGCAAAGCTATCAAAGAGTGAGAACAGTAAAAAACAAGATCAAAAGGTACCTATGCCCAGTATCTTCTGTTCTAAATACAAAAATGAAATATAGCTATGTAATGTAAACACCAGCAAATGTTAGTTTTATAACTGTAAAAGCCTGGAAACTGTAGCTCATGAAGAAATTACAGATTTAATATTTAGTATAACAGGATATGATTTTGAACAAGACAGAAATATCACTCCGAATGATCGTAATGGTTCC